CTTTTGAAAGACTCCTGAGGTGAGAGTAGGAATCACTGCATATTGAGAAGAATTTTTTCCACTAGCTGAGGATCATATCATCTGAAAATCTGTTTTGATACTTTATGTCTTCAGATTCCTTGATCTCTCAAAACCGGCTCGAGAGCTTTTCCTGAGGATGTATTTGCGAAAATCATGGTGGCTTACAGCAGAAAAGCTAAAGGAAAGGTGTGTCTTCCGAATTTAAAGAAAGGATCTTTGCTTATATTGCTGTATGTTTATACAATCTACAGGTACACCGAACTGTCTTCTACGATGGACGACTCTTTAAAGGAGCTAGTCAATATAGGCTTTGTTGACAGTGACAGACATCTGTCAGAGCTTGAAGAAGTGCTTAAGATAGCACCGCTGCCAGTTTTGAGAGTTGTTGCGAAAAAATACCAGTTAGACATCACTAAGGTTTGTACACCAAACTTTTTAAATAAGAGTTTAGCCGACATATGCTTATTTAGGGCAAAATCGAGCTCGTCACAACACTGAAAAGCTTCTCAGCTACGCAAAAGGGTCTGTTTGGACAGACAGGAGGCATTGCAATGGCTATGGTGAAAACGTGAGGGCGGCTTTGTATCTGGCTCTAAGCTTTTTCAGTGATTTTTATTGAAAAAAGCTAGATAATTTTAGAGTAAAGAAAGAACTGGGTTCTTGCTACCGCATCAATAAGGATGTTAGTATGATATTCAAGGTACGCAGTTTTTTAGAAAGATTATTTTTTATTTTTTCAATCTTGGTCGCGACACTGTTTTCATTTGATCCAACAGCTAGTGAATGTTGGGTATCTCAAAATCTTTCTTCATTATGACTACAAAAATAAGCTCGCCCAGTTTGACGAGTAATTTTCTTCGCATCAGAAGTCGAATCTTTATTGTTTACTTTACTTCAAATCCACCTATTTTTACACGAAAGTATGTCACACTTTAAAGTAGCGCGTTTCATTTGAAAAAAAAAACTGAAGAACAAAGTTAAATGCTTTCTTGTAGGCACTGTTCACTTTATATGCGCCCACGGAGATGTGCTCTTCATTGGTGATTGACCAGCCTAGTCTGAATTTATCGCAAAATTTGCTGTAAGTTTGTTGTTTTTGCTGATATGTCATTTTGTACTCGATGATTGGCAAAGGTTAGAATTACGTAGTTTGATTAGCTTCTTATCCATTTTGATCAAATCGTAGTTAGACAAACTGATTTAATCAAAGGAGTTGAAGAAATTCTTAGGATTATTGGTGTCGAGTGGTAGAGTTCTTGCTAGTCATTTGTAAACTCGAATAGCTAATTTTTTATGAAGAATAATAAAGCAATTTGAAATAATAAATCCATTGATAATCTCAAATTATCTGCTTTTCATGATGATGAAATTTGTGTTCAAATGAATGCTGTAACCTGATATTGCTCTTACAGATTTACCCTCTTACGAATGGATCAGGGTGTTGTACGATTTCCAGCTCCTAATCCATGTCAAGAAATCTTATC